CTCCAGAAGCGAGTGCAGAAAAGGATAATGATTCTAAGCAGAGTGGAGAAGAACCAGCTATTGAAGAAGCTCCAGAAGCGAGTGCAGAAAAGGATGATTCTAAGCAGAGTGGAGAAGAACCAGCTAAWGAAGCTTCAGAAGCGAGTGCAGAAAAGAATTACGATTCTAAGCAGAGTGGAGAAGAACCAGCTATTGAAGAAGCTCCAGAAGCGAGTGCAGAAAAGGATTACGATTCTAAGCAGAGTGGAGAAGAACCAGCTAAAGAAGCTTCAGAAGTGAGTGCAGAAAAGGATTACTATTCTAAGCAGAGTGGAGAAGAACCAGCTAAAGAAGCTTCAGAAGCGAGTGCAGAAAAGGATTACGATTCTAAGCAGAGTGGAGAAAAACCAGCTATTGAAGAAGCTCCAGAAGCGAGTGCAGAAAAGGATTACGATTCTAAGCAGAGTGGAGAAGAACCAGCTATTGAAGAAGCTCCAGAAGCGAGTGCAGAAAAGGATAATAATTCTAAGCAAAGTGGAGAAGAACCAGCTATTGAAGAAGCTTCAGAAGCGAGTGCAGAAAAGGATAATGATTCTAAGCAGAGTGGACAAGAACCAGCCATTGAAGAAGCTTCAGAAGCGAGTGCAGGAAAAGATAATGAATTTAAGCAAAGTGGAGAAGAACCAGCTAAAGAAGCTCCAGAAGCAAGTGTAGAAAAAGAGTCTGTGTCTGACGTCAAGAATGGACAGAGCACGAATGACGGAAGCCACGTCGAAGAAACATCTGATAACAAAGAGGAAAATGCAGAATACGAGAATGAAATAATCGTTGAAAATAAATCAGTAGATGGAGCACTTCCTCAGCGGTCGCCTAGAACTCGAAACCGAAGGAGACTTCGAGGACGGGAAAAAGATAGCTCGGAACAAGCTGCATCGCAACAGGTGAATGATGGTGCAAGCAATGGGTTAGTAAACAACCACGCTACTAGTGAGGAAGAGAGAAAAGAGATAGCTGGTAAAGAAGAGAAAATCGCCAAACTCACTCCCGTTGTCGACCAGCCATTGATAAATGGACATAGTGATGCTCGCGAGAAGAAAACTGCGAAGCAAGAAAATGGTGAGAAAGAAAATATAGAAATCAATGGATTTACTACAAGCAACGGAAATGGTGACGATTGTATGGTTGGTAGATGACAATAAGCTGCATGGATTTCCATTTCAATTAATTCAAATAAAATCTCCAATATTATCGTAGGGAATTAATATATATTCACTACTCATTTCGACCCTTTGCCTTTAAAGGCAATGAATTCAAATATCGTTTTTGTCCGCAATTTTTCAAATTTTCGCGTTTCGAATGCTTTTATAGTTGCATTGGGCAATGTATCCAGGAAAAAATGTCTGATAGTACTTAGATAAATTGAGGTACTCTCAGTTTTATATAGTCAAGAAAAAAATCCATGCAGGTTTTTATTATTGTGCAGTATATATATACCTATTCGTCGAGGCTCATTAATTTTGGTTCGCAAGAGCACTGGAAATTTTAAAATGACAAAGCAGTGTTTAGAATTCCGCAGTTGAACTGTTTGACACGTTAGAGCAGATTTTGTCTGAACGAAAAAAAAGCTAAACTAAATTTTCCTTGAAATTTAATGGCTTCCTTATTAAATTGCTGTGATTGGGTAATAAATGTATTCGAGCTCAATGATTGGTTCAAAATAGAAGCCATTTCTATTTTTTTACTCATACAAAATCTTCCTTTAATTTCACTTGCTTTTTGTCGTTGTCATTTTATTTATGTCATTTTTTCGGAAATAGGTATATAAAAATGAATTTATGAATATATTATTCGGTACCTTTGTGTGAAAGCACTTTAATTATCATAATCAAATAAATTTTAATATATTCTCTATGCAATTTATATGAGAAATGCTTGAAAGTCGAGCAGAATTATATCAAATATTTGTTGTAAAGAGAAAAAAAAGTATTGAATTTCTTGTGAAAAAAAAAAAAGCACGATAAGTAGTTACGGGAAAACGAAATAAAAGGGGGTTCGTACTCAGGTGAAGTTTGTTTTATTTTTAATGACGAGTCAAGCAAATTTAAAAATTCTGTCTTCCAAAGTAATGGATGACACTGGTCTCAAAGAATAAAAGATTCCAACCGGGTGGCCCATTTGGCTTGGAATGTAACCGCTCAGCTACGCGACGAAGGGTTGCTTTAGCTTTCTCGTCCGCCATCTCTGCAAGCTACAGTAAGTGTAGTTCGTGCAGCACTAAAGCACGTGTGATGAGCCCACGTCATCACTGTACAGCGGCTTACTATGGCATACGTCAAACGCACTCTTGCGTGAAGTTCAATGGTAGAACTTGAATGTTGGATTGTAATCCAACAATGACGGAAAGATTATGTGTTTGTATCTAAAAACTTTAAAACCTTAGTCCTTGAACGAGAAATTCTAATGGTTCATTTCAATATACTGTTTAGAAAATAACGTTCTCAAAGTTGAATGTTGAACTTGATGTATGTCAAAAGAGCAATGTTGAATTTTGTCCAGACACGGAAAGCTATTAAAGGATTTTGAATCGTGGAACTCGAATGTTGGACGAGATTACAGCTAAGTTGAAAYCRAAATCTTCAATGTCGGAAAAGCAACTAACAATATTGCATTGCAAGTGAAACACTGAATTCTTTACTAGAATGTTGAAAACCTGATGTTGAATTTTGTCGGGAATATAACGCCATAAGGCTTGGGGGGACTAGCAAGAACGTCGTGCTAAAAGTCTCTAACGTTCAACCTACGGCAAATCGAGAAAAACTTAAGGTAGTAGCTATTGTTGGGTTTTATTTAACGTTATTTCCTGTGTTTTGTGAAATATTCATTAGCTGAATAACAAGTTTTCCATAGAATTCTTTCTGGTTGATAACACATGGTGGTCAGTGTAACCACCATTTGGAGCACATAATGACATTCACTACGTGGCAACAGTTAATAGAGAGGTACAACAATAAATGCGGTTATCGGTGTATTGAGCAAGATTCTTGTACGTCCCATGAGACGTAGTCTTCCGAGCCACGAGGGATTCACAATCCCCAATGTAAAGAGCCAGGTTTTGACATTTTAACATAAGCAGGTAATCGAATCGGGGACCCTCTACACCAAAGCCGGGAGCGCCAACCAATGCGCCACCGAAACTCTTATACGGTGTTAAAATTATTTATATCATTCCGAACAATTAATTATATACTTCTCTGCATCATCTATCATGCCGTTTTTTTTTTCTGTCTCGTAATGAATAATCTTCAACCACTCTGAATGCGTTTCCTTCCTCCTTACCTTCGCTAAGCAAAGGAGAAGAACGTTCATCAAGTGCCAGTGGCGACTTGCCAATGAAGGCAATGCCCTTGACTAGCTTCGCGCTCAGAAGGAAACGGTACGACTCATCATCGTGGTTGAAGAGGTTACCTTTGTTGGGAAACAAAGACGGGACACGTACTATAGAAATGATCCTAGTAAGTACGGTCTTTATTGGACAGCGATACTCAAAATCAACAGTATCAATTGATTGCGTTAGCTAATGTGGGATCACAACAATATCACGCATGCGCGTTAATTCGATGGATAATAATAATGACGTACCGCGTGACTCTTTCGAGAAAAAAATAGATGATTCATACCCCCTTCTAAGTGCTTTGTCAGTCGTCTTCGGAGGAAAAGCCTTCAATTTCCGTTCGTTTTCAAGATTTAAACAGGATGCTTCTTCACTATAGTTATTTTCCAGCGGGTCCTGTAAAACCAATAATGTTACAATGTTGAGTAATGAAAAACATTGATGAGACGAAATACAAATAAACAAACGCATAAAATGACAAGTTTTGGAAAGCTTCAAAGAAATTGAAATGAAACTGAGAAATCCCAGAGCATCGTTTGATATTACTTAGATGTTCAATTCTTTCATAGCTTGATAAGATATTCTTTGTTTCCCCCAATTTGTTTTAACACTTGGCAGTCGAAATTCACTTCCATTTCTTGTGTTATAACCAGGCTCATTTAGCTTGGTCAACTTTAGCCTGCGTAGCCAGACGTTCCTGAAGAAGACGGGAGCCGAGAGCCGGCAGCTCCCGTCCTCTTCAGGAACGCCTGGCTACGTAGGCTAGGTCAACTTTGAGATCTGACAACAAGAAATTATTATATATCAACTTCATAGCAACTCGAAATAGTTTGCTCATTTTCTTTTGAATTCTTACATACTATTATACTTTATCTTATAAAAATCTCCAACCACTCTGAATGCGTTCCCTTCCTCCTTTCCTTCGCTAAGCAAAGGAAAAGAACGTTCATCAAGTGCCAGTGGCGACTTGCCAATGAAGGCAATGCCCTTGACTTCCTTCGCGCTCAGAAGGAAACGGTACTACTCATCATCGTGGTTGAAGAGGTTGCCTTTGTTGGGAAACAAAGACGGGACACGTACTATAGAAATGATCCTAGTAAGTACGGTCTTTATTGGACAGCGATACTCAAAATCAACAGTATCATTTAAATGTGTTAACTAATGTGGGATCACAACAATCTCACGCATGCGCATTATGTTGATGGTTGGGTGATAATAAATAATGACGTACCACGCAATCTCGTACATGAATAACTGAATAAAACTGTCATTTTCAATTTTATTGAGTTTAAGGTTATTACTTTAGAGATGGAAAATTAATGTTAGTCGCGACAAGAACATCTAAATACTAAAGGTAATACTTACTAATATCAAATCTAATCAAGGAAATAGTTCATTTCAGAAGTTGCAGGATAAAATTCCAGGACTTTTCCAGGACATTTGTAGGACATTTTTTTCAAGGACTGTTTAAGCGAGAAACTGAATCGCACTTCTTGTGGTTTTCGCAATACCTTTTGGAAAGGGGGGTCGATTAATTCCTGAATACCAAGGAGCCCATACGCCATTTTGAAATTTTTCAACAAAAAAACAAAAACAAAAAAAACTGATGACCAAGATTTATCCTGCTTTGGGGCGGAATGCGAATTATGCCAACCGGAACCCACAAACTTTAAGGACAAATTGGAATATTCAAGAAATATTCAAAAAAAATTTCAGGGCTTTTCAAAGGCAAAAAAATAATTTTTCATAATTAATTAATCGTTTCAAATGTACTCAAATTAGTATTCAACATTGTGTCGGCAGGGTGCGTCGCAGTCGGGCAGAACGCAGGCTAACATCCTGAGGGCCGTATAGGGCAATATATAGCTACATCCCGGCGATTGCGGGCTTTTATCTAGATACATCCCTTGATTTCTTAATGAGCAGGGAAATATGGGATATAAAGCTCTACGAATAGCAAAGCAAGCCATGTCAAATTTAAACTAAATAATGTGAACGTAACTGATTGTGAAGAAATAGAAAACGCGCGCGTGTGCTGTCTGTAGTTATAAAGCACGCGGGGATTGGCAGAACACCAGAGAAGTCTTCTCTCCACAGAGCACAACAAGCAAGTTTTTATTTCTTTCATTGAAATACAAACTAGAGTAACCGTTATTTTCCATACGAATGACAAAATAGAAAGTGCGCGCGTGTGCTTTATGCCCTCAAAACCATCAATCAGAACGCAAGATTCATAACAGATATTTTATAAGATCCTGTATGCAAAAATGTAACAATTCTCATATTCTACTCTTTCTCCTACATTTGTATGGTATACAGCGGGTTGTTTCTTCACCAAGGTCCATTTCCTTGCCTTTAAGAGTTCGTCCATCTTTTCTTTGTACCCGTAGTTCGGGCTGTCATGAACATCGACGCGTATCGAGAAACATATAACACCACCTATATTAGATGATAATTAAGTTAACAGAGTTGCTCCATTCCATATAGATACAACTGTACAGATATTTCAGTTAATTATAATTATATAAAATTGAACCAAAAAGTTCTGAAGTTTAAAATTTGTCAATTCAACTTTGAATCAGTTGCGTTGATAAAATATCCTCGGATTCACAAAAAGGGGATACGATTCCTCTACATTCCCTAGAACTGTCACTTTGCTCCACACTTATGGGAGAATATGCAAGAGCACAAAAAGTTCACGCAGACGCAATTAGGGTCGTCACGCAAGGGTTATCTAGCTTTGCGTGACGACGTGACGACCCTAAGAATGTTTGCCTAGGATGCTACACACATTTCCATCTGAGCGGTCAATTTTGTGTCAGCCAATCACAGCGCGTTTAGTGTTTTGCCGACTGTAACCGAACTTTTGCGTATAATTTTCTGTTTTATTTTTTAACTAAAATATAATATACATGCCTACAAGAAGCAGAAACTATGGAAAGTTTTGCTTCGTTCTTTGAAGCTCCAAAAATGCTTAAGGCCGGTCATTTTGTCCACTAATGCTTTGCGCGTCGCGTTCACCGCTCACTGGCTTAGACTGCTGTAAAATATCTTCAATGCGATTCAATTTACCTGGTTTAACGAGTCGCACAATCTCATCCAGAGCTGGTGGTAATACATGTCCAACCGTTATAGTTCCAGAAGAAATAAGTGCATCATAATAACCTGTTTGGATCTGATCTATCTTCTTCTCACTGAGTGCTGCACAAATCAGATTCTTGTAAATCCCCTTATCGCGTGCAATGTTCAGCATTTTTTGAGATATGTCCAGTCCATCGATGCCCGTGTATCCAAGTTCCTTCAGGTGCTGCCCTATGATACCAGTCCCCGCCCCAACATCTAAGATCCTCATCTTTTGCTTGTCATTGCCAAAAGCGTTTGTCATTTCGACATTAAAAATATCTGCACACGTTTTATGAGACACATATCCATAAAAATTTGCATCCTAAAAAAATAAAAGTATGTATTGTATTTCTGTTTTTACTAAATTCATTTTTGCTCGGCATTTCGAGACCCCGCCCGCAACCAATCTGCCACAGCGTGCATTGCTTTCCGTTTCGAATACGCCAAATTATATACGTCGCAAACATCATAGACTTTTATACTTTGATAGACGTTTGTACATCAATGTCATGCGCAGTGAGGTTTGTACATCAATGTCATGCGCAGTGAGGTTTGTACGTCACTGTCATGCGCAGTGAGTCCAAAAACAGGCTTCCACAAGTTGAAGACAGCATGCCAACTCAAACAAAGGCACTGGTCGACGATATTTTGTGGGTCGTACGTGAGGCTCTAAGTCTTCATGTAAACTTGGATGCACCTTTAATTTATCTCTATTTGATGGAGTCGTCCTACGACAACTCCATCAGAGGACTTTATGGGGAATTTAATATTCATGCACGTGACGTGTATGGTAGCTTCAATTGGTTCAAAGGCTCATTAATTATTCATGACTTTTCATCGTAATCGTAATCGTACTCGCAATCGTAATCTTAAGAAGGTTATGCTCTAGTGTAAATCAATATGACGCAAGCAGAATCGTAAGCCTCGTTTCCTTGTTATTTTTCCGCCAGCTTCGAAATATTCATCATCATCATGATCGTAACGAGCGTAGTGATTGGTCAATCTTTACGATTACGATTACGTTTTCTTGGTTCGCACTCGATCGCAAATTGACTGTAATCGTAATCGTAGTCGTAAGGAAACAAACCTTTTGATCTTAGCTTACGATTACGACGCTGTTACGATGCACCTTACGACGGCGCTCAAGACTACGATTTTTGATTCAGACTGAGTTTTAACGCTGCTTACGATTACAATTACGATTATGATAATGATTACGACGCTAGTGTGAGCAAGGCTTTATATAGCACTTCACTTAAAATATGCAATGGCCAGTTAACTTTGACCGACAACTTCAGAATAAGAATAATAGCACATTAATCCCCTATTGTTCTTCTATTGTTATTGCATCGTTTTCAAAAGACGTCCTTCATACTAAAACGAAGTGCATGGCCGGGTATTCTGAAGTTGCTCCTCTTCTCTTGTGAATGCACTGCCACTTGCTTATTTTTAAGGCTTTAAAGTTGCATGCCTGCATATATGCTTTGCGTATTGGTTCCTCGTGTGGAAAATGAAAATGAATAGAATTACAGTCACGCTGGTAAAAGAGTTATTCACCATTTCCCATACATTGGTTCACTGGTCAAACATAAAGTGCTCAAGCGAGGCGCCAAGGTACTTTCAAAGGATTATTCCAATTTGAACCTTGCAACCTCGACTGAATGATTTTTGTTTGACCAGTGAACCGATGTATGGAAAATATTGAATGCTTTCTTATTCAACACTGAGAGTTGTTTTAAAAGACCTTCTTAGCGTTTATTTTATCGTTATACGTCACACGCTTTTTCGTTTACATGAAGTGAAAACCATGGTTGAATAAGAAACAATGTCGTGGAAAAACATCACTCGCATCCCTCTGCAATCCAGGGCAAACAAAGAACACAAGATATCATCATTCTGATGAAGGCTGTCGCTTAGTTATAGCCGAAACATCATGTTTTTTAAAAGCTCCTTCGCGTTTTATCCGTAATCTTACATTTCATTAATCATGTCTGAATGCCTCAAAGATACTAACACAAGATATAACTCTTACTACACCTTGTCGTAATCTTTGGCCCATCTGTTGTAAAGCTCCTTTACGTCTTTTTCGGAATTTGAGCTTAAAGCAAGCTTTGAAAGATCAAGGGAGCCATTATACGATCCGTGGTCAGCCTCATCATGAATTTGTTGCATTTTTATAGCTTTCTTTTTATCTTGATGGCAGTGATTGGCAGAGACCTTCGTCTTTCGACTGGTAAGACAGTCTTTTACCAAGCACTGTCCCTGAGACAATGACGACCGGAAGGCGCCGGAAGACTCTGGGTACGAGGTTGGACTCTATCTTGAATGTTCCGAATATCATATTGGACTAGACTTAGCCTGCAAAGCATTTGGGAAAAAACCGGGGTTTTGGGGAAGCTTTGGGAATTTGGAACGAGCGAGAATTGAAAACCCATCACAAGAACAAACACTGATTATCTTAATTAATGCTCTAGTTTTTAGTAAACTTTTTTATTGTTCGCCAGTCTGGAGTAATACGACAGAAACTAATCTCAATAAGATTCAGGCTGTGCAAAATTTCGCTTGTAGGATTGTTTCAGGGGCCAAAAAGTATGATCGTGGTTATCAATTAGGAAACAACCATATCTTAGGAAAGCTACTCTAGTTTTTAAGTACATGAACGGAATGGCACCAGGTTAATTAGCGGACAAGTTTGTCAAAAGATCTAGCATCTCTAGCCGTCAAACTAGCAGTTCTCAGATGTTAAATATTCCGCTCCTTAAGACAATCACAGGTCAACGTTCCTTAGGCTTAAACTTTGTAAAAATGTGTAGTCTCTTAAGCATGCCAATCACGAAAAAAGCTTTATAAAGGAATTTCTTAATAATTAAATATTTACTTTATAATAATTATAATTACAATAATTATACAGCTTCTCATTAATCCCATATAGGTAACTGTCCAATTATTTTCTTAATTGGACAGGTCTTGTTGATATGGGATTAATTAGGCAGCTACATAATTAATAGGTAATATGATTCCATGATCTCCAATCAAGAAATAATTAGACTCGAAAAATTCCTCTGACTGCCAAATTGGATGAGGCCGTACGTCAGTCCTCGAAATTTTCCTCGTCCAATTATTTCTTAATTGGACAGCATCGAGTCCTATTACATATACTAATTAGATTTTTTTTTGTTCTTTTTTTGTTTTGTTCTTTTTTTGCTTTGTTTTTTAATTTTTTGGTTTTTTTTCGTTTTTTGTTTTTGTTTTTTTGTTTCTTGTCACGGGCCCTTTTGAAAGCAGGTGTATATATAGTATATTTTATCTCTTTTTTTTCGTCTTTGTATTCAGACCTTAGATATGTACATAATTTATACTACTAAGTTCACTTCAGTTCAACGTCGACCGTCTTAATCTACACATCGTTTTGTAAGTATTCATTCCTATTTCTTTTGCTTTTTCCGTTTGCATTAATCGTTTTCTGTTTAAATATTAGTCTTTCCTTTATTATTAGGAACTCTAACGTGATATCTAATAAACGTAAACGACGAGTAAAGCGTGTGTATTTTTTAACCGCCATACCGCACCAATATTTATACTTATATTTGCATTTATATATTTTTAAAACTTTTATATCACGTAATTTTTATTGTTTTTTTTTGTAGTTTTAATGCTTCTGAAAAGCCCTGTAAAGGGATGAAGTAATCAAGTAATGTATGTACGTATGTAAGAACTCCTGCTCTGTAGTCTGGCTATATTGGACTGGGTTACCTGTGTACTAGTCCCAGTCCCCACCGCCAGGCTCTGTACATACGGGATATTCCAATAGTTAGTCCTCTTTGAATCATCCATCTTGAAAGGTTAGATGTATATTTTTTTCTCTGCGAATCCATTTAAACTCTCCGTTATTTTAAGCCATCCTTCAAATTAAACAAATTTATTTTGTTCTCTATTTATTAGGAAATCTATTCCTTTCATCATGAGAGACAAGGTACGAGGATTTTAAGAGAATTTTGGGTTTTAATAGAGGGTGTTTAGTGTGAGGGTGACCACTTGTATATCCGTGCTGTTTACTAACTATTCCATGTCTTTTCTTTCCTTTTTCTTCTAAATTGATGAACTAACAAACAGTGGAAGAAGAAGCGCATGAGGAGGTGAGTAAATATCTTTAACTTTCGAATTTGAAAAGGTTCAAGTTGCATCGTGGTAGGCGCTATACAGCTTCGACAACACATGGCTTGTAATAACTTCACATAGAAACGAGCTCCCTGAACGTTAAGTCAACGAAATAGCTGTGATGCTATGTAATAAAAAGTGTATATCCGTTTTTACTACAGAATAGTGTGTGCTGCACTTATCCAAATTAAGATTTGAGTCAAACTTTGATGTGGAAGATGCAAATCAAGTGTTTAACAAGCAACTAGAAGGCTTACCATTGTCATAATTGTTGTTAGGGAACGAATATTTTTTTATATGAATATTATCCAATGCTTTTAGGTGCTCGATTGTGAGAAATGCTATCATGTTTCTGCAATAAACTAAAATTTGTAGATAAAAGCATTTTTGGCTTCAATTCATCTCAGACTCAACTGTATTGTAGAAAAATATGAAGCTTCAGGGCTCGAAATAGAAAACAATTGTAGCCTGCCATAGTAGTTTTAGGAGCATGTTATTAAATTTTGCGTGCCATTTTGTTATTCATTTGACAATGCACTGTTATTTTTGCCTGCCAAACCTGAAATTTGGCCTGTTGTTTAGCCATTGGCAGGCTGCTATTTTGGGCCCTGTTTATGCATTGTTTGCAGAAACATAAATGCTTGAAGGGAAAGAAAAACTTTCAAAGCATAAGTGAGATAGTTAAGGGTTAGAGCGTGACCTTCTGTCGTAGTGTTGGATTTATTTGTTATAAGTCTGAGCTTTCGCTGTCTACAGCATCATTAGTGTCTGATAAGATATTCATGCAGTGCAGAAAAGATAGTATGCTTAGATCTGTGGAGCGTAAATGATGATTAACGATGCTGCTGAAACACATTTTCAAACTATTACATAACTGAAATTTCCAAACAAACAATAATCCTTCCATAAGATCATTCTGGAATCTAACGTAACCATTATGGTGAAAGGTAGTTCGCTAACAGTATACACTACTTAAGCTTCCATTATTTAAAATCACTCTATCAATGGCTATAATCAAATAATAAAGACATCAGATTTGTCTATTCTTGGATTGCATGTTTCATTTTTGTGGCCATGTAGGTGCTATTTAAGAAAAGATTTCTCATTAGCATCCATTGATCACAAGGGTTGCATGTGTATCAGTAACAATGAGGTACTGGAACATGTTTTACCCTAATAAAATTGTTAGTATTAGTATTATATTTACTTATTGACCGAGTGCGAGGGCTGTACGGGGAAATATTTGGCTCGAGGTGACAAATGACAATATTTTCCCGCATGGCCCGTCCTAACTCGGTCAATAAACATTTTATCATATGACCTTCACGAAAAGAATAATAATAAGATAATAGAAATAGTAAATAAAAGCTAAAAAAAAGAGAAAGCTGGGCCATACAGATTCGTACGCCTTGCTCATTTAAAGCCTTCCAGTCCTGCTCACGGCATTTTCCCAAAGGTTTTTTTTAAGAGAGCACGCCCAGGCAGATACGGGTCATATTATTATTATTGATATTGATATTCACACCAAGATAGCCACCATGTTTCTGTCTTTTGGGAATGTTTGCAACCCATCAGTATGCTTATCTTAATTATCGACTTTAAACTTTTTCTATAGATTGAAGCGCAAAAGAAGAAAGATGAGAGCCAGGTCTAAGTAAACACCACGAGCACAAGAGACAATTAACTTCCAGATTACTGTTCTGCTCCTTGGAGACAAGAATAATACAGAAATAGCAAGATCATCTATATTAGAAGTGGCAGTACACTTGTCCAAGAATACATTCCACCTTGACTAAAACTTATAAGCTTCACCAAGAATAATCCATTGTAAACAATATCTACAATAATATTATTCATCAGGACTGAGGATATAATGAAAGTTGCAGTACATCTAGTATTTTGGATGTTAATGGTGTACAACTCCATCATGTAAACCTGTCTTTAGTGCAAATAAATTTGTTTTTCCTTTAAAATGTTGAAAGTGTCTTAGAGATTGAATGACAAGTGAGTCTGGGAAAGCAGTTATGAATACACTCATCTTGATCTATTAATGGTAATAAGTAAAAGATCTTTCCCAAACTTGATTGATAATTAGATGATTCTGAGTTGAGATTGTATAAATTTATCAATTCTGATCTTGGAGTCATTGTTTTATGGTCACTTGACAAATCCAGGAGAGGTCTTTTTGTATATTTATATATACCAGACTCCCTTGCACACTTTCTTTTGAAAAATTTGCGAAGTCAAATGAAGCCAGCATGCAAACGTCTTATATATGTCTTGGTCTCGATTCAAAGAAAATATACCCACCAAAAAAACCAAATCAGTCAAATTGAAAACTAGCAACGAAATTCATTGAAATATCCATTCTCTGTTTTCCCCTCGCTGTCCTTTTGTCTGGTCCCCTTACCCTACACCTCCGTTGTTTTTGAGGGAAAATGCAACTTCGCTCCCATTCAAAAAGGAAAAACCAAGAGAATATGAACTAGTTCATATTCTCTTGGAAAAACCATTTAAGTTTTATTATTAATAATTTCTATTTTTTTAAATGAAATTTTAGCATGAAACAGTCTGAAGCATAAACGATGTGAGCTAGTGATTTACAGTATAAAGTAAATGTGAAGTGATCGTGTAAAGATGTAAAATATATCTAGCTATGAGAATGGATTCCAAGAAGAAGATCGAACGATGGCATGCATGTCTTAGTGTGTTCTGCAGGGTCTCTGGTTCAACTCCTGCGGGTTTATCATCGCATGTCAGGAGTAATAATTTGTTAGGTCCGGTTTTCCTGCCTCAAAACCAAACGATAAATTCAAATTTTGATCAGTTTAGCCGTGTCCTGGCTTCGATCAGCTCAGACTAGTTAAGTTCAGGTATCGTTAAAATGTGAAGTCGAGAGGAAAATCCTTTGACACGGTGATCTGTCATTTTCCCACTCCTACGTGCCCCTACTAAAGCATGAGTAATGTCTCCCCTTAAATCTCCCACTGATTTGTTTAAATTTGACAGAAAATTACTCTAGTTTACTCTGATATTAAAGCATTTAAACGTTGAGAATGTACCAGGTGAATATGCCAACATCTGCGCAAATCTCACAATTTTACAGTGATTAAACGGAAATGGATTAAGAAAAACCGTATATTTGAAAGCATTGAAAGAGCATCCCAGAATTAAAAAGAGTCACCCTCATGGTGGCACAGAAATCCATGGAGAACGAAGATGCCGATTCTGCGAACCGAATTCTTGGTCTTCTCCTGGCAGCTTTTTCGTGCGTTTTCTTTGCCATTTCCTCATTGTTCGTAAAGCTTTTAGGCGAAATCCCTCCACAAGAAGTAGTATTCTTCCGTAGCTTGATTCAACTGATCTTCTTACTTCCACCCATTGTGTACAGTAAAGCGCCTGTATTAGGAGAACTGCATCAGCTACCTTATCTGTTCGTACGAGCTTTGACTGGAAGTCTAGCACTCTGTTGCCAGTTCTACGCCTTCCAGCACATGCCACTGGCTGATGCTACAGTCATTGTTTTTTCATCTCCAATCTTCACCGGGGTTTTGGCGTATTTTATCTTGGGCGAGTCGTGGGGTCTGTTCAATTTTTTCGGCACTCTCTTATGCTTCGTTGGGATCGTCATGATAGCACGTCCAACATTCCTATTCCCACATGCTGCTGATGGAGCCACGTTCAGCAGCAGTAGCTTTCAGCAAGTGACAGCGACCCTGGTTGCTTTGTGTGGTGCTGTGCTCACTTCAATAGCATTGATTACACTCCGCAAGTTGAAGGGAATCAGCTATCTGGTACCTCCCCTATACGTGGCCATGGCTGGAGTCATTCTTACACTGGCTGGGATCTTGGTGACAGGTTCCTTTAAGAGTGTTCAATGTGGGTCTTATCATCAATGGTTATTAATGATTATTGGCTTATGTGGAATCGGTAAGTCAGAAAAATTGTACTAGGCTGACGTTTGAAGACTGCAACGAGGTCTATGCGTCTAGGTCGTTTTCGAGCACTATAACTGTATAGCGAGAGTTCGCCAACATGACCAAACACTATTGCTTAGGGAGGTACGTTTCAAAAAGTTGAGTGCATTTTTTTACTCGCAGTAAAACAATCACGACACTCTTTTAAGTCAACGAGGAATATATCATCTTTCTTCAAAATATAAGGGTTTGGCCGTTCACAAAAGTTCATCATGAGATTTTGTTTGATCGACCCTCCTCTTTGAGGCCTCAGCCCTCCCCCCCATAAAAACGTACATTCCCTGCAAACATAGCATTATGATATTAATTTGCCAACCCTTCTCCCTATAAGTTAGGGAAAGCAAGAAAGGTTACCGGGGAAAAAACAAGGATGAAAAAAGAAAAAAGGAAAGAAAAGGAAAATAGCGAAAGAAAACACAACTCGTTTTAGGAATGCATGTAGTGAATATGATAAGTTTTTAAAGTCTTTTTATTTGTAACGTTATATTCGATAGGTGGACAGACACTCCTAACAAAGTCCCTCCAGCTCGAGAAGGCAGGAATTGTGGCTTTAGTGCGAACCCTTGACATCGTATTTGCCTTCATTCTACAGCTCGTATTCCTGGACTACAAGGCTAACGTGTATAGCATTATAGGTGCTCTGATGGTAGCTGGTTGCAATATCCTGGTGATTTTGAATAAGTGGTGCGACAGTCCCGCCTGTTGTAAAGCGTCTGCTGAGCAGCGGAAAATCGTTGCTTCAGAAGAGCAACAATTATATAATACTAATTCCTCCGCGTCACTCAAAGAAAAGTAAACTTGTAACATGCGGCTGCATAAGACGTGTGACTTGGTTGGCTAGTATTTGTTTTTGTAAGATACTCATCTTTTATTAGCCATGTTAGTGGTACTACCATTTTAGCCTCGCATCCTGATTCCAAGATAATTTGAGAAGGATCCATCAAAAAAGTATTTCTTATTACAGGGACGGTGGAGACCGGGGAGGGGGGCACTTTTTACTAGAATTACATTTTCATTTTGTCTAGGAATTAGAAAAAAGTTCACCTCAAAACAGGGAGGAGAGGACTGTACCCCTGCATCCCCCCCTTAAAAACTGTTAAGCCGTACCAGTATTAACTTCCTTCGTTAACACCAACAGTATGGCTGTTCGCTTAGAGACTCATATTAGACTTAAATATATCTACGGCAGTTTATTTTCACTCTAGTTTATTTGCTACAAAAACTAAGTACTAATTTTACTTCACTCCTAATAGTGTAACCAATGATTGAATATATTATTGACACAGATTCGTTTTGAAAATATTCGCTATTCAGGAGTGCTCACTCATTTTAGTTTTGCCATTAAAAAATGCCAATTGACAATTGCTGGGTTTCAATCAGCATATAGCTTGCATTTGTTTCATTCCCACTTCCTCCTCCCAAAAGCCACTACGCAGGCTACAATCAGCATGGTTTGCCAAACACTGACTATTTGCTATCAACCAGAAATAATCTTACTGAAAAATTGTGTTTCTGATAATGAATATTCTTCACGAGACAGGAAAAGTTGTCAGGTGAAACCCAGCAGTACAAATCAAAATTGGTCTTTGAAGCGCATGGGTGGACTGCAGCATTAATGTGTGGCATACTGTTTCTATTACTACCGTTGTACTGAAGTATCTTTTTGTCAGGGCCTTTGCAGGCTGTATAGCCCAAGGCTTTTTCAAATACAAATGACAATAATGCTGTAATAAGGTGATAATAATAAATTACAAAAGAAATAATACTAAAAGGAAAGAAATATGTAGCATATATTAAAAGTTCATGCAATCCTGCTGAAAATGGGGAAACTATACATTGACTTTGAAACAGATGAGCTCATAGTCTGGAAGTGATGTATTAAATCGTTAAAAGTGAGTGATGCATGGTCTGAAATGTGACAAGATTATACCCATTGAGACCCATTTGTTACACCCATTGGGACTAAAGGATAACGACCTATTGTGTACAATCTTTGCAACAAGATCTGAACCGCATCTGAATCATAAAGGTTAGGAGCTCATCTCTGACACATTTAGATGTCCTAATGCTGTAATAAGAGGCTGCTATTTGTTACACCCATTGGGACTAAAGGATAACAACACATTGAGTACAACCTTTGCAACAAGATCTGAACAGCATCTGAATCATAAAGGTTAGGAGCTCATCTCTGACACATTTAGATGTCTTAATGCTGTAATAAGAGGTTGTTATTCGTTACACTTACAGATCATCAAGGAATGAAAAACTGATTAATGCTAAACTCTATTTGCTGGTAAAGTAGAAAACGGGTGTCAGCTAAATAGAATGCATGCAAGAAGAAGGGTTGGTATTTTATTAATCTGTTGTAGCTTGTGGTTTCTGTTGACAAAAATATAAAACACTAAATGTGAATAAGACATGGTCAACTAGACTGGTCTGTAGGTAGATCTTTAGAGCAAGACCCTAGACTTGGATCTAGACTTGAACCTAGTCTACCCTAGACCCAAGACTTGGATCTAGACTTGAACCTAGACCCTAGACTTGGAACTCGACTTGAAACCTAAACCCTAGACTTGGATCCCAGTCTCGGACCTAAACCCTGCACCCTAGACTTGGATCTGGACCCTAGACCTGGTCACTATAGTTGGACCCTAGACCTGGACACTAGACCCTAGCCCCTAGACCTGGACCCTAGACCTTTACCCTAGAGTTTGACCTCGACCTGGACCCTCAACCTGGACCCTAGACTTGCACCTTAGACTGTATCCTAGACCCTAGACTTGGACACTAGACCTGGGCCCTAGACCTGGACCCTAGACCTGGGCCCTAGACCTGGGCCCTAGACCTGGACCCTAGACCTGTACCCTAGACTTGCACCCTAGACTGGATCCAGGTCCCTAGACTAGGACACTAGACCTGTACCCTAGACCTGGACCTGGACTATAGACATGGAGCCTGGTCCCTAGACCTGGACCCTAGACCTGGACTCTAGACTTGGACATTAGACCTGGATGTAAGACTTAGACCAAGATGCTTGGACCTGGTCCCTAGACCTGGACCCTAGACTTGGACCCTAGACCTGGACTTGGACACTAGACACTAGGTCCCTAGGCCTGCATCTAGGCCTGCAAAAAGGCATCTAAGGTCCCCTAGAACTCCATCCTATCAAACCTGTAACTAAAAATGAATTGGAAAAATGTTGAAGTTGATTTTACCCTTTTCCTGACTGGCTGGTCTGCTGCTTCCTTGTTCTCCTTACATTCTTCTGGTTTCAATTCCTTGTCTATATCATCTTCATCCTTTTTGGAAGCAGGTTTTGCTTCTGGTATGTTTGGTATCACAGGAGGTCCTGGTCTACCAAATATGAAGTCTGACACATAAACTATCACCTGTAAAAGAGGAAGAGGTAGAATGATACCCTGATTAAAACAGCCCCTTACAGTGAAACCCCTCTATACCGGACCCTCAGTATACCGGAATTCTCTCTAAACCGGACAAAAGTTTTGGTCCGGAATGTTTCCCATATATCTTTTGTAAAATAAACCTCAGTAAACCGGAACCTCTCTATTCCAGAAACCGGACGATAATTTCGGTACCAAACGCTATTTGACAATAGAATTCAACCCCGCTAGTCCGGATGACGTACCGTTGTTTCGGAACTACCGTCACTAGCTTATTCTAATGTTTGTGGGTGTATAAATTTAGTCTACAGTGACAAACTTCTAAACTCACAAAATCATCGAAAATTTTCTTTAAATAGTAAATCTTGTTCACAAATAGACATATAAAGACTTTTTAATTGTTTTCAATGTATAAATGTTCAAACAGAATGCATAAGGAAGGTTTATTAATAGTGTTGAGAAATACTAAAGATCGAATGGTTCGCAAAGTTGCCGCCGCCATGTTTTTTCATGTCAAATGGTTTTGGGGTCATTCCCAGTCCATTTTACCGGGGATTTTGTTCAGATCGTATCTAGAATGCTTCTTCTTGGCGTTCTTTTGAAAAAAAAAATTTGGAAAAAAAAAAAGAAATTTGTTTAGTTTTTGATCTTATTGTTGATACTTTTACTTGAACTTTCGTTTACGTGTTTGTTTATACTGACGCCAAACGATTAGACACAAACACATTTTCAATAGGTGTGATATCGCACTTATTCAAATCGAAAATAAAAGTAATTTGCAAAAACCTCAGTATACCGGAAGCCCCGCTAAACCGGAAATTTTTATCGGTCCCCGCACTGTCCGGTATAGAGGGGTTTTACTGTATTAATCAGACACCCCTTATTAAACAAACAGCTCAGGAACTGATCAAGGAATCAGAGAAAGGAGGGTCCAGATATTTAACCTTTATGAATTGGAGAAATGTTGCCAGGAAACCTTCACTGTTAGAAGAACCAACATAAATAGGGGGCCATGGCCCCTTGTGCCCACCCACTCAGCCCATGCAGCTGCAGAGGTCCCAATATTCCTTGAACTGTCTATTTTTATTAGTTTAAGTATTTTCTTAGTTTTTAGTAATTTTACTTTAGTCAAAACATTGTACAGCACTTTTGGGCTTTATTGGAAAAAAGCACATCATAATAAAGTTTATTATTATATTATTACTATTATTATTATCATTACTATAATTATCAACTTACCAATCCAAGAATGAGACCTGCAGAAATTGTTGCAACACCAAAGATTGCAAGAGAAGCCCACATTGGAAGGCCATATGTAGTTGTTAATTGTTCATGAATGTCCTGAAATATATTAGGTGTATAAACCAATGAGTCTATTTAAACTAGTAAAAACCAAGCAGAGCTCCCCATTCAAACCTGCTTTGCTGAACTGGGCACCTCTGTATAAATATTGTTGATAGATAAATAAATAACCGATGAGCTAAACTCAAAAAGATCTGCTGGTATCAACCAATGACCAGTTTCATATATATATTAAAACTAAGAAAATCTAAAATCTAAAATTACAAGAATTTGAACTATAAGTTAATTAAACAAACAAACAAAAAACAGATGTGGTGACCTCTCGTTAGTCCATCATACTTGAGTCATGAGGGAAAAGAGTGGCTAGTGCACTTGCATCATTGTGTTTTCACTTGCAAGATTACCTTCAAGAATAAAGAAAGCTTGAAAAGAATTCCAAGAGCACCCATCCTAATAAATAAAAACAAAAAACAAAATCATATTAATGTGATCAAATCAGACTGGTATTATAATATCAGCTGGGCTTGAGATAAATAATTTAAGGAGGCTCGAAACAAGAGAAAAACCCTCGAATCAAGGGAGAGTCCTAACAAACAAACTAACAAATTGAATTACTCAAATGTGATGCCAAATTTGGGAATCTGAGACCCCAGAGGTGAGTGGACTACAAACCACCTCCTACAAACAACCCACTTGCAAGTACATTTATATAACTAGTATGAACTTCGTAGGTGTAAAGATAAACTAAAATATTTATACTTACACAAAGGAGCCTGGAGATTTCCAAGATGGAACAGGCTCATTGTCACGCCACTTTTGCTCCTTCACAAAGTTGACAAATTCATCAAGAAACCTTGAACCATCATAAACACTAAATCGTCCATCTTTTACACTGAAGATAAAACAGAGCCTTAACAATTTTGTTTGAACTTGGTTTGCTTTTACTGGATATTTCAGTGATGGGGTAAAATCACAGCACCAGGTATGGTCAGTGGCTCGATACGAAAAATATAAAAACATGAAGTCAGTCTGACTCCATGCCAATTTCTTTAGGAATAGAGGCTTTGCCTCAGTCTATTCATCGTGTGATGGCAGCCATACCATCACATGATGGCAGCCATACTATCACATGATGGCAGTCATGTTAGATGGCAGGAAACATTATTGTTTTACAAGAGAAATTATTAAAGCAAAAGAAAGCAAAGGGTTTTCATTGTTCTGCCACCAAGCATTTCCAAGAAATAATGGCCCTGGCTACAAGATGGCAGCAGTCCAAGCTGCGTTATGGGTGCCAGCACATGATGGTTCAGTAAGTTTTTTCATCTTTTCATGGTGTAAAATTTACCCTTTTATCATTACTGTTTCATTAGAAACACTGACACAGCTCACACTAGTTTTTAGCTAGTTATCTCTTATTAGAATTCTTGCAGTCATGATAATAATGTAAATATCTAAACTGTAATGTATTCAATTATTTTCATTATGATTGATCATCATTAATAGACAAGCTACTCACTGATAAATTGTTGGCAAAGAAGATACCATAAATCTTCCACTCAGGGCTAACAAGGATAAGGGACATTAATAAATCAAACTAATAAATAACTAATAAAACTTGAAAGAGAATTAAAACAAAGATAAAGATGGAGATAAAGTATCAATACCAGATTGGGTTGTTACATCTACTTCGGCAACATTAATTCCAAGCTGCTTTCCTTTTAAAGCAAATGCTGACCAGGTTGGTGCAACATGTTGACAGGCAGGACACCAAGGAGCAAAGCTGAAGAAAATTTAAAAACAAAAAAAATCATTATTAGTGCTAACCAATTGGTAAAAAATAGCACCAATGAAACAACTGAAAACCAAAAGAAATAGATGTGTTTAGTGCTATTTAGTTTTTTGCTATTTGTATAGGAAATCGCACGATCTCGAGTACAATATTGAAATTAATAGACACGAGTAATGTTTTGAAAGTTCTTGTAATTGCACAAGCCTTTAGGCGAGTACAATTAAAGAACTTTCAAAACATTACGAGTGTCTATTAATTCCAAATTGTACGAGAAGATCGTGCGATTTTTTGTTTATAGTTCACTCAACAAAATTTCAGTAAAAAATGCGAAGCGACGACGTTCATCTTTGTCTATTTGGCGGCCGATTTCCAGTCCATCGTGCAACTGAAATGCATAAAAAAGATTAGTTCTTACGGCTTTAAAATTTTTTTTAATGCTTTTTAAGTACAAAATGATAGAAAATAATTGTTTTGACATTGTTTTGGCCGTGTTGCCATAGCGACTTAATTCGGTACTCCTACGGAGTACAATTAACGCCATAATTGTACTCCTCTCGACGAATCAGAGTCGAGTAATTTTGTTGAGTGTACTATAATACATAAAGCCAATTAATATTATTTTGCTATTTACTCTCTGATTAGTTCAAAACTGTAGTTTCTCATAGAATATATGGAACCAGCACCTCTATCATTCTGATCGATAGTCTAGATCAAGTTTTAATAAATATCACATGGGAACTAAAAAAGTACTAATTTTCATGTCTTAGGGAAGAAAATTTTTTATTGAGGGGGGAGGGTTGGGGGATTCACAGTAAACTTATAAAAATTAAAAATATTCGTAGCCCTCCCCCTTTGAATCAGTAAGAATTCATGACCCTCTTATTAAGTCAACAAGGAAAGCGTTTGTTAAAATACAAAGGTTTAACCCTCAACAAAAGCTATATTTTTTACCATGATGACCTTCCCCTATGAAGCCACAGCCCCCTCCCAGCCAGATATGCTGTTCATATGTCAAAACCCACAAATAACCCATGCTCACCATAGTCTCCATTAGCTCAGTGGCTAGAGCATCCAACTAGTATACAGAGGGTCATGGGTTTTATTCTTATCTGGGACTCAGAAATTTTTCTGAGTTCCCTATGCCTATATTCCATTAGTTTATAAAAATCATTATTTATTATTGATATATCGTTATTCTATTGAGTCGTAGGTTGAAAAATTAAGAGCAAATTAAAAATTAAAGCTGTAAGACATAAGCTCTTTAACTTAGTATATATCCCAAATTATTTCTCTCAGCTCATTATCAAGTACTCTATAAAAAAACATTGAGTTTGGGTTTCCTGTGGTAAGTATCTCAAAATGTAATTCCACAAAGATAACAGTATGAATTAAATGAAATATTGCAAAACATCGAAGTACAATTAAAGAATATTCAATAAAGGATGTATATCCCAATGATTGTTACTTCGAAACGACGTTCGAAAAGTTCAGCTAGTTCCGTAGATCCGTTTTCAATCTTTTCGCTAGAGTAACAGCTAAAAACTTACAATTTAATCATCCATTCACCCTCCAGAATCTGTTTCCAGTTATCTTCTGTTAGTTCTATTACTTTTCCATCAGAAGCACTCGAAGAGAGGCCTAAACAGATAGAAAAAAGAAAGGTTCCTAAAGAAAACCTCCAAAATGCAGCCGCCATTTTGAACGAACGTGAACAGCAATACTATGTACAGCGGTTGAGAACATTGCGCACGCGTCTCAGTGTTCTGTATCCAAGATGGCGGCCAACTTTGCACGTTTTGCGGCGCGAGGAATAAATTCATCTTTCAGGGTACGATCTTTACTTTTAAACATTTCTTGGCCGTTTATAGTAACATACTTATATACTTTCTCATTTTATAGAATAAATCGGGATTATGTTCACGGGAAGCGGCGAGACTGACGAGCTCTTGTTTGGTCCGGCATTCAAGAGTTTTGTCCAGCGTTCAAGTTATGCAACCACAAACTACCAGCCTGTGAGTATTGTCAGATAGAACGTTTTCTTTTCATTATGAAAATATTAAATATCTTTACTAGTAAATGAAACTTACTGAAGTTTTGCTTGCAATGAAAGTTGTCGTTTTAATGATGCTGAACGTCGACTGTCAAATGTTTGTTGTCGTTTGTTTGTGGTTGCTGTAGTAAACATAAAATGCATGGTACGAACTAACGGGAACCATGTTGTAAAGTATGATTGATAATATTCCATTACTAGGTGGGATACCTGTGGTAACATTCAAAAATGAGATGTTTATCTGACTGGGCTACCTATGGTTGGTTGCCCAGTCTGGTACTTTCTGGCTACTCCAGCTTTCCTTTCTCCATGAAACAAATGTGCTAAATATCTGTGTGTTATAGCAGTGCTCTAACCTAAAGCAGCCCAGATGTGAATTAGCCATGCCCTGACTTAGATCAGAGAGATTGTTTCAGGGTTCAATGTGTGGGTTTGCTGTAACCAGTCTTAGATCAGCCGAGAGGTTTTTTCAGGGTTCAATCAATCTGTGAGTTAGCTGTGACCTGACTTTGATCAGCCTACCTGTAGTCCAGGCTATGAGCTGGCTGTGCCCTGACTTAGATCAGCCCAGAGGTTTTTTCAGGGTTCAATCTGTGAGTTAGTCCTGTCTTGACTAAGATCGGCCCAGAAGTTGTTTCAGGGTTCAATCTGTGAGTTAGCTGTGACCTGACTTTAATCAGCCCACCAGTAGTCCAGGCTATGAGCTGGCTGTGCCCTGACTTAGATCAGCCGAGAGGTTGTTTCAGGGTTCAATCTGTGAGTTAGTTGTGCCCTGACTTTGATCAGCCCACAGGCAGTCCAAGCTGTGAGAAGCCTGAGCATGTTTCAGGGTTTGATCTGTGGGTTAGCTGTGCCCTGTCTTAGATCAACCCAGAGGTTGTTTCAGGGTTCAATCTGTGAGTAAGAGGTTATTTTAGAGTTTAATAAAATTGAAGGGTTTTTTTTAATTGAAAATGTGATTACAAATGCCAAACCAATGAAAAACAGGCTCAATGGAGAGAAATTATTAGTTTTTGTTTTTAAAGTTTAACTACCCTGAGTGTCAAAGGAGTCCATATAAGAGATTAAATTGCAAAAATGTGGACAAAAATTCCACATTTGTATTTTAAAGCAATCATTTTTTCTGTCTTTTTTTAACCAGGGTCCAAATAGCATCAAGAAATTTTTCTCAAAACACTGTACCAATCATCTGTAACATTACTGCTAAAATAATCAGCAATACAAGTGGAACATCAGAAGCATTGGAAGAAAGCTCTGGTGAATGTGAAGATGAGGCTACGAATGGTAGAAAACGCATAAAACCCCATGAACTTCAAAGAGATGATCCATAAAATTGGTCATCTCTTTATTAGGACTTCGCTATAATTCTACAAGTTTTTATGGTCATCTTTGTTTAAGTATGATTTTATCCTGGTGGATTTCAATCAAGAGATGTCATCTACTGCAGCCAAGATTCTCCATATCTGGTTTAAAAATGTGCTAAACCACTTCTGATATCTTTCTATTTTTTGGCCCACTCTCTTTATGGACCATTACGTCTAACTTTCTAGTGTTTTATTGTCTTAAATCGTGTTCCCATTTTATGTTTAGAAAACCTTAAGCAGATTTAGCGTGGCTAAAGACATTATAAACACCATATTAAGTAGTACTTTGTTATATAAGACATTATATCATATGATCCGTATGGCCCTGCCTTGCATGCCCTAATAAAACCTTTGGAAAAAGTCACATGATAGGAACCAGGCGGGTTAATATGGGCAGGCTGGAAAAACCTGTCTTCCTCATTTACGAACACAGTATTTATCAATTTTAGCAGGATTTTTCAACCTTTTTTACAACAAAATTTGGGTCATGTGATATAAATGCTCGACTTTGTTAGGTTGGACCAGATCAGTAAATATTTGGCTTTTGGCCGTTTTTACGGCATGACCTCGAGGCAAATATTTTCCCGTCCAGCTCTCCTACTCAGTCAATAAGTAGATAATATTATGCTTTCATATCAGTTCAGCCTGTTCCAGATGCCACACCACTCATGTGCTGAATTCAATAGATCACTTTACCTTGCATATAATGTTTTCCCATTTCAGACCATGTGACATTCTCTTGAGAATAAGATTCTAGATTCTTTGTGTGAGTTGTATCAATTTTAATGTGGGTAAATCTTCTCATGCTTAAACAAAGAAATGATACTCCCAGGAATGAAATGTGGTTTAAAATTGGTAAACATAACACCAAAACTAAAGAGGATTATTGAATCCCGTGAGAGTATAGTTTAGTATATTGACCCCCAGTTTGGGTAGTACGAGGTATCTACACCCAGGGGGAAGACTCCAAGGTAAAAGTATCAGGTATGCTCGTTGTATCTCTTAGGTGTAATACTCAGCAATTTGGTATCTTTTAGGGTGTTAAAATTTCAGTACAATTTGGTATCTGTTAGGGTTTAAAAATTGCCCAACCACACCCAAGCTTTTGGTATCTTTTAGGGTATTTTTGAAAATTTCCAACGAGCATACCTTATACTTTTACCCTGGAGTCCCTCCCTTCCGGGATCTACAAACGTCTATCTTGGTTCTTAGTTTCTGTCATAATTTCTATATTTGTAAGTTTGAATATATTTGTGAAAGTAAGGAGACAAGATGTACTGAAATAAAAAATCCAGCTAAAGAGAATATTTTTTTGATTTTTTTTACATTCACATTATTGTAATAATTTTGTAACTTATTATGTTTTAATCCAAGAAAGAGTGATTGCTTAGTATCCCAGATGGAGGTGGTGAGCTTTAGACCTTTGATGTCCTTATTGCCATTCATAAAATAATATCTAGACGATTTGAAGGAAAATGTTTTTTTTGTAAAAGTTTTTTCAATGCTAGTAACCTTTTTTGAAAGAAAACTTTCATGCCAATGTTATTGTAATTTTACTTGACCCTATGAACAAATAGTATTATAAGCATAATATATACACGGTAGTAACCATCTCATAATTCTAAGAACCAATCTCATTTCATATGGTGACCAATCCTCCTTTGCTGCTCCTAAACTACGGAACACTCTGCCAATATCTCTGAAAGAAGCCAAGTCTAATGACATTTTCAACTCAAAACAATATTTCTAGCTAAAGAATTATTTTATTCTTTATGCTACTTTATTTATTAGAGTGCACGCACTAAAACCGTGAACATTAAATAGTACTAATTAGTACTATTTCATACAGAATCCTTTGTTTTCTATTGTTTAAGTATCACTATTAAGTGCTAAAAATCAGTATTTGTTTCACGGATTTAGTGTGAGCACTCTAGTATTATTTCTTGAACATTCTACTGTAAAAGCATTGAAACTTCCCATTAAATGTGTTCAAGAAAGGTTATATTATTAGTAGACACTTTCACTGTGACTGTTAGTCACCAATATTATTATGCAACTTTGTTTCATGAACCAAGTAATTTTCTCTAATATTAGTGGTTGTACCCCAGGGTAAAGTATTGGGTATGCTTGTTGAAAATTTTCAAGAATATCCCTAAAAGATACTGGAAGTCTTTTAAAAAGGGCATAGAGGTATCGTAAAAGATACCAAAGGAATGCTGAACTTCTAAATTTCAATTTTAACATCCTTTTAGATAAAAACTCTCTGATTTATAACTCTAAGAGATACGATGAGCATACCTTATATTTTTACCTTGGAGTCCCCCACCTCCCCCCCTAGGGCAGGGGCGGATCCAGTGGTGGTAAAGTGATGGTAAAATAGGTGACTAGTCAATCCCCCCTTTTGGCCAAATATCTTGGTATATTGTTAGTGACAGTCCCCCCCCCCCCCCCCCCCCCCCC